AATACAATCTTCACATTGTCTACGTAATGTATTTTATAATATTTGACAATTCGTCGAAGCATATGAGAAAAAAAACAAATTGCCTCCTAATCTTGAGTGTCACTTAAGCCTGATCTACAATGTGTTCTTTGCTTCCTGTTTTCTGCTCTTACCTCTTTGCAAATATCTCGTATTTTGCAATTCCGTCGCATAACGTGATGTTTCTTGTCTCTTCTGAAGTTCGTCAATTTTTATCTTGGGCGACAGAGAACAAAAAACATCACGTTACGCGATGGAATTGCGAAATACGAGATAGTCGCAAAGAGGTAAGAGCAGAAAACAGGAAGCAAAGAACACATTGTAGATCAGGCTTTAGGATCCAGATTCGATATGTTAACATTGTTACGGATACAAAGAGTAAACATTAAATTCCGTAAAACTAGCCCTTAACGATTTCTCTCTCTTTAAGATAGAAAGAATGCAAGGCTGCGGTTATCGCTGAGTGCCCATTATTACTGGAATTAGCGAGCTCGGAATGGAGCCGTGCGACAAAGAAAAGTTTCGCTATAACGCCGAGGTCGTCCGTGCGATTAGTTGAAATGTCCTTTTCCGCACTTCTGCGCGAAGTCGCTTTATATTTATACCAAGCGACAATTCTTTTCCTTTATGCCATACGTTCCTCTTTATTGTCCTTTCCTTATTCACACGAAATCTCGGCTTCTTGTGTATACCTGCCTTGACCCGAAGGCTCCCACCTGGTGTCCCGGTTCAATCGATCCCTTGGTGTTTATCCCATTTGGTCCTGGGGAAATACTGAATCTTTTTCCCATAAAGCGTCCCTCTTGCATTATCTCGAAAGTTCAAGAACTACCGAGTAAATCTTCAATGTTAATTTATGCAGAATGCGGAAAGCTCTATGTAAATTTTAATTCGGTGCCTAGCGTGCGTCAGAGATATATATTACCGATTTATAATAAATTGATACGCGAGGCATTCAAATAAACGAGTTGACTATTTATAAAATTCGCGGATGGCTTTTTCTTAGACCGACGGCTCATTTAAATATTTATTTACTCGCGGTTTCCGAGTAAAAAATATTTAATAATTAATATTATTCCGACAAATAAATTCGGTATGTTTAATCATAATTGATTCCCGCGTTTCTGCGTCATCGAATTCCTACGGGTCGCGTTATTTCTTATTCGTGTTTCATCTGTTCCATTGTCGCGATTGACATTTCGTATTTATTGGTCGTCAACGGAGATAATAATGGCATGTATGCGCCATGTGAATTCGTGACAAGTCGATACACAAAACACGCGGGGATCTTTACACAACTTATCGTTGACCAAACGTTTAGCTAGTGACGGTGCTGGAAACCTTATCGCGCGAATCCACTCGTGCTGAGTGCTGACTTTAACGCTATTGATTACTTTTACGAATTGTTTAATCTTAAGTGCGTTCTTCATCGAAACGCGATATTTTCGCTATTTGATATTTCCAGAAAGATTTTATCGCGCGAACTTGCGAATGTTCAGGGTCGTTTCTTGGCAGAGACAAGTTGCAAGAATGTTATTCGAATTCTGTTAATGCGGCAATAAAAAAAAAACTTTGTAATGCATCGATGAATTTATACGTTTATCGCGGGGAGGCAGATTTTGCGTAACGACTTATTGGATAATAATATTAGATAATATTAGGAGTGAGTCGCATGTTAATGAATGCGTGTAATCGTCACAAGATCTGAGATTGTATAATTCATAGTTCCTTCTGTATTCTTGATTGCAGCAACAAAACAGCAGTAACCATGCCAGTGCCTGAGCTCCAGAAACCGGCGCCCGCTTTCTCCGGCACCGCTGTTGTGAACGGACAGTTCAAGGATATTAAACTCTCCGACTACAAGGGCAAATATGTTGTGCTCTTCTTCTACCCGTTGGACTTGTAAGCACATTACTATCGTACTTTCATATAGGCGGGATGTAACAAGACAGTTATGCTATCCTCAGTCGCCGCTGCACAAGAAGTGCTGTTGTGTAGTTGCTTAGTATTTGCATAAAGTACGTCCTTGACTCTTGGCTGATACATTTGAAACGATAACAAAGAGATATTGTGTTCTACATTCTACGAGATCTGGAAAACAGCTCCACGTTTTAAAAATCGCGCTGCTAATTAGAATTTAAAGCAATTTACGTCACGGATTTATCTCAATTACGGTTAACAATTGGCTGATGGATTTAACGAAGATATACCTGAATTTCGAGAGATTTGTATTTACAGGAAAAACATTTTTAAAATCACATTGCACAACTTAAAGCTTTCGGAGTAAGAAATAGACAATTTAAGTGGACTGTCATGGGCTACGATTTGCATAATGATTATTTAACCGCAGCACTTTCGTGTGCCCGACGGAAATCATCGCTTTCTCCGACCGAGTGAAGGAGTTTACCGACATCGGCTGCCATGTGATTGCCGCGTCCACCGATTCCCACTTCAGCCACCTCGCGTGGGTAAATACGCCGCGCAAACAGGGCGGTCTCGGTGAGATGAGCATTCCTCTGTTGGCGGACAAGAGCTGCAAGATCGCCCGCGACTACGGCGTGCTCGACGAGGAGTCGGGAATCCCCTTCCGTGGTCTTTTCATCATCGATGACAAGCAGAAGTTGCGTCAGGTCACCATCAACGATCTGCCCGTAGGAAGGTGAGGCTCTTGCTCAATTATTAAAGTTGTAGCAAATTTAAAATTTTGTTTTGTACCTCGCGATATAAGGGATATCAAAATATAGTATTTAATGCGATTTTGGTATTGCTAGTAATACTAATGATCTTGCATATTATATTTGCAATACTAATGATTTTGCATATTCATTGCAGATCCGTGGACGAGACTCTGCGTCTGGTTCAAGCATTCCAATACACCGACAAGCACGGTGAGGTTTGTCCGGCCGGTTGGAAACCTGGCAAGAAGACTATGAAGCCCGACGTCGTTGGCTCGCTGGAATACTTCAAAGATCAATAGACAATAAATTCATACTAATGTTTCTCCATACCTACTGTTAACTGCACTCGCGTGTATGTGTGTTTTATACTCTTTCGCTGCGTACTCTTCGAATTTGACACATTCTGTTTCTACTTAGCATAGTTAGATATACATCTCACGATCTTCACATTGAAATATCCGTCTTCAGTTTAATAAACGGATTTATTTTCTATACATTTTTAAAGAGTATTTTATCACCTTACGTGTACGAATTATGAATCGTTTGATATCGATATATCAAAAGCAATTGACGATACAGACATACGCAGACGGTACTCGTGATAACGGGTTGTCACAAGTCGTCACGAGTATCGATTAAGAAATGCTGAGTGAGTTTAGCGGCACAAAAATCTCGATAGGAAAAAGCTCAAATGATATACTATTACTATCGAAGTCCGTGCGAGGTTCAAGTTCAAGTCGTTAGAAATGCCGCCTTATTTTCAACGCGTTATAGCAGTCGTAACCGTCAATATTTTCCTTTATTAATCTTTGTGTCATAATTAGTAATTCAACATAAGGATTTCGACGAGAATTTTGAGCTGGCAAATTGCAAAAAACTTTATTTTACGTTTAATATTTGATTTAATAACCTATTCTTTGGCGAATTTTCTACGCTATTGCGATAAGATTGTCACATCACGTGGCATGAGTGACGATTGCGAGACTGCAATAACTGAAACAGGTAAGGATGAAGAATTGGATGGAAAAATTGCTTATTATATCGTATCAATTAAATATTTCCGGACAGAAAAACCCAACCATAACGACACGCGTTACATAACTTTGACATTACACGATAATTATGATACATTTGCATTTGAGAAATAAGTTTTTTTAATTAGGAAAATATCTAAAAATACTTTAAATTTGTAAACTTAATACAGGATGGGGTATCTGGCATTATTTCACCGTCGCTTTATGCGGCTTACTGTCGCTTGCGGAAGCAAGCACTTCCCTGATTGTTCCTATCGTGGCACCGCTGATAGCGTGCGATTTAAAGCTCAATAGAGATCAAGCCACAATGCCTATCGCTACTTCTAGTTTCGGTATACGATTTAAAAACCGATATCTTAGTGAATTTTATACTAAAATGTTAAATTGGCAATTTAATCAGATTGAAATTAAATTATTGCATTGAATTAGTTATCCAATATAAATTTATATTTCTTTTCTTATTATACAAAAGCTAAATTTATGTATTTTTAGTTGTGCGTTAAAACATATACCAGTTTCCTATGGTTTTTTAATCGCATTGATCACACTTAGGAATGGCAGTAGGTACGTTTCTGTTTGGAACTATATCAGATGTTGCAGGCCGTAGAAAATCTATCCCGATTACTATGTGCATCGTGTTTTTCGCCTCAGCTACTCTTTCCTTCGCCCAAGCTAATTTTTTGATAAACTTGTCGGTATTCATGTTAGGATTGGGGTAAGTTCCCAACCTTTTATAACGAAATTTTATTAGCATATATATGTATTTCATATTTGCAGTTTTTTATTTGTTTTTTTATCAAAAAGCGATATTTCTGCTTGCATTTTTGGTATCCAAAGAAGCGAAAAATATCGTAAAAACAATACATCAAAATGCAGATCATGTTTTCGTAAGTTGCATGACAGTGAATTTTATTAACATGCGGGTGATAATTGCGTCATTGACGCAAAGTTGATATTCGTAGAGTGGCCGGAAATAATATCGTTCTGAGAGTTTATCTCATCGAGTGCCTACCGATGAGAAAGAGAGGAACGTGTTTAGCTGTAATCGACATGTTCTGGGTGGTCGGCTATTTATCAGCCTTAGGTAATATCGAATGATTTTACAAAATAATTCCTCATGATTTAAGTTTATTACATTTATTTAATTTAATAAATTCCATGCTTTTTGATCATTGATTATAATTCCAACTCAAAATCCATAATTATTTATTCTTTTTATTAAACAATTTATTTCTCTGATATCTGCCATTCCGAATGCGTTAAAATGTAATTTTAACGAGTGTAAAAGATAAGCTTTGGACTGAACATTTACGTAAATTATTGTTTCAGTTGACATCTTTGTTTATTTAAAAAATACAACGACTTTTAAGGATAATTTTATTTGTGTGCTTTTTACAATTCAACGTTAACGAAATAAAGAAAATGGAAGATTCAGTTGTAGACCGATTAAAAGAAGAGTCAATCTATATATTTAATCTTATCCAATTAACAACCGACAATGAGTTCAAAGATTAATGTTTAATATTTACAGAAAGATTTAAACTCTACTGAAATTTTCAGTTATTTTCTCGTCGAGAGAAACGTTATGTCGAAAAATTACAAAGAGATTCCTTTGTTCGGAAAGGCATTTCCTGGTCCATGATGCCGTCCGTCATACGCATGCTGGACAAGGAATTCCGGCCGAGTTCCTGGCGAGTACTCGTCATTATCTGCGGCACGCTGAGCTTGGTGATCGTCTGTACCTCGGGTCTCCTATTGCCAAGTCCTCGGTACTCGTTGCACCGTCAACGGCCGAGACAAGCGCTTGCGGTGCTCCAACAGATGTACGCCATCAATAATTCGAAGCACGCCGACACCTAC